CTCTTCATCCTTTACGTTAACGACAGCCTTCAGGAACTCGACTGCGGCAAAATAATGTTTGCAGACGACGTTAAGCTCTGGCAAGTCATTAAGGGTCCGAATGATCAGAGATCCCTTCAAGATAATCTGCACCGACTGCAAGCGTGGTCGAAGAAATGGCTTCTAGATTTCAATGTGGAGAAGTGTGCCGTCCTTCATCTGCGTCCAACCAACTCTCATTCAAGTGAGAGTCTGAGAACTTATCACCTGAAAGATATAAGGCTCCCCGCAGAATCTTCACAGAAGGATCTCGGGGTTTGGATACAGAACAACCTGAAACCAACACTGCAGTGCCACAAGGCTGCAAAAAACGCCATGGGAGTGCTGCATGCAATAAAAAGGGCTTTCGTAAATTTTGACCAAGACCTTTTTGGGAGAGTTTACGGCACATTTGTTCGGCCCCACTTAGAATATGGCATACAAGCATGGCGGCCATGGCTGGTAAAGGACCAAGAATGCCTCGAACGGGTACAACGGCGTGCAACAAAGCTGGTAAACGGTCTAAAAAGCCATTCCTACACAGACAGACTGAATTGCCTTAATTTATTCCCTCTGTGTTACAGGCAGCAAAGAGGTGATCTTATCCTCGTCTACAAGATAATACATGGCCTTGAGTATGGACTTAAATTTGAGGACATGTTTCAGTGGCACCTTTCACCCAATCTTCGTGGTCACTCGATGAAGTTACGGACAACAATGTCCAGGCTGAATCTCCGTTCTGAATTTTTCACGCAGAGGGTAGTGGAGAAATGGAACGATCTCCCTTAGTCAGTCGTGGAGGCTACATCCCTGCAACTCTTCAAGAAACGCTTGGATGATTATTTGTGTCCCCTGTTTTCCCTCGACGGTCTGAATCTGAACTAATAACCCTGGTCCAGACAAATATTTTCTCTGAGACAATGCTACTCAAATGAACCAAGTACTGTTTTAATAGTGAACATTTTTTGTTCGTGTACAGTTATTCTAACGAGCTGACATGTAATCAATAGGGTTTTCAAAGGCTTTGCCTATTATCCTTACCAAATAAACTGAAAAATAGGCAAGATGGCGGTGTTGTTAATAAAAAGGCCATACTACATGCAATCGCCTTTGGTCGTGGGACACAAAAATCAGACCTAACTTTATCAGAGGTTTCGTTATTGTTATCCTTCTGTCACTAGTGTCCGCATCTGTACTCAATGAGTCGCCACATGTACTTTGAGATGCTCCTTAGACGATATTCTTCCGAAATTTTCGCGTTTTACGCTTTGCCTACCTGGCTTTAAAATTAATAGTCCCTACTGGGCATCAGAGCCCTACCGTATGAACACTTGACGTAAATGGTTATGTTCTCACGAACTAACGAGTTATATCTCACGAGCAGTAAAATTGAGCAGTAAATAATACCCTGATTCTGAACGTTAAGTAACCTGACAATAGAGCGCGACAGCAAAGCAGACCAGCAAGGCGGGTTGTACAGGTGTGCATTTGATCGCCATATTCAAACAGGCAATCCGGACAAAAAACGGGCCTAATTTTCAAAGGTAAATTTGTCCAGTACTCCACCACAGTACTGCCCTAATAGACCGGAGGGCGACGTAGTACGGCGTCGAAGGATATGCATAAGTCTAGGAAAAATGCGTAACTAAACGATCGGGGAAATGAGCGTCAGGGCCACTGCGAGTAATTCAGAAGATGAAGATGCGATCACTGGAAGAAGAAATTTATTTGCCTGACGTTTCGGATTCTCACTCACTTGATGAGGGATTCGAGTGAGAATCCGAAACGTCAGGCAAATAAATTTCTTGTTCCAGTGATCGCATCTTCATCTTCTGAACTGCTACCTAGAACTCGCCTGTTCGCTTCTATCAGCACTGCGAGTAATGTAAGCAGGAGGTACAGTCGAAGAGGGTTGACTGCTTGCCATGGTGGAGGATAATGTTTCTGTTAGATGCTGTAGACACGTAGGGAGAGAAAGTATGCTGAACGGAGGGGTAGAGGGCAAGAGAGGGAAAAGGTGTGACAGTGGGCAGGACGAATGAGCATGGGATAGGGAACAAGGAGGAAGGGGAGTTAGGGGTCAACACATTCTTGTCCTTGTAACAGATCCGGCGGTTCCTCTACAACAGCAGCCTTGACACGATTGACACTGACCACGTCCTCCTTGTCACCGCAAAGAATCTGGCAGGCCTTGGCGGTGCGCGCGAGCACGCGGAACGCTCCTTCGTATGGCGATTCCAGCGGCTGGCGCACACGGTCATACCGGATCAGCGCGATAAATGCCGCAAACAAATACGGATGGCTAGAACTTCTTTCGAGCGCCGACTGAAATCAGAATCCATAACATGTCCCAAGAAGTTTTGCGGGTACGTCCGCAGTAGGAGAAAGCATAGGGACGAAATTGCGTTTCTAAAGTATATCCTCGGAAACTTATTAGTTGAAGGGCCACAGAAAGTGCATTTACTGTCTCCGTTTTTCCAGTCGGTTTTTACGGAGGAGTCATCAGAAGCGAATTGGCAGATTGAAATGGACCAAGACTGCAGGGAGCTTCAAATGCGCCAAGATACTGCCCTCATTGAAACCGCTGCCTTTTCCGTCGAAGAAGTAACACGCATCCTTCGTCAAATAAAACCCGATAGGTCCCCTGGACCCGACGGAATTCCTGGGCTGATACTTAAGGAGCTATCAGCGGAGCTGTCAAAACTTCTTCGACTCTCTTTGAGTTGTCAATGAGAACAGGAAGGCAGCCATCACAGTGGAAGACAGCTAACCTCGTTCCCTTACATAAGGGAGGTAGCAGGATGGCAGCGAGCAGCTTCAGGTCTTTTAGCTTAACTTGCCTCCCATGCAAAACAATGGAAGCTCTAGTAAATAGCGCTATACAGCAATTTCGTGAAGAAAATAACATCTTGCAGGATTTTCAGCATGGCTCCCGGTGAGGACGTTCCTGCCTCTCAAATCTGCTAGCTTGTCTGTAGATCTGGACCAGGGCTCTCGAAGAGGGTTTTGAGGTCGACGTCCTGTAAATCGATTTGCCCGAAGCTTTCGATACTGTTCCCTACCAACGCCTTCTTCACAAATTGAGCGCCATCGGCATCCGGTAGATCTTCTGAACTGGATAATGGCGTTTCTAGTTGGTCGGAGACAACCTGTCTGTATCGGAGATGATATGTCAGAATGGGTGAACATAAACATTGCTGTATTTAAAGGCTCCGTTCTGAGACCATTGCTCTTCATCCTTTCTGTTACTGACAGCCCTCAGGAACTCGACTGAGGCAAAAAAATGCTTGCAGACGACATTAAGACCTGGCAAGTCGTAAAGAGTCCTTACGACCAGCAAAGAGGGGATCTTATCCTCGTCTACACGATAATACATGGCCTTGAGCATGGACTTAACTTTGAGGACATGTTTCAGTGGCACCTTTCACCCAATCTTTGTGGTAACTCGATGAAGTTACGGACAACAATGTCCAGACTGAATCTTCGTTCTGAATTTTTCACGCAGATGGTAGTGGAGAAATGGAACGACTTCCCTCAGTCCGTCGTGCAGGCGACGTCTCTGTAACTCTTCAAGGAACTCTTGGATAATTATTTGTGTCCACTGTTTTCCCTCGACAGTCTGAATCTGGGCTAAGTACCCCATGATCCACCAATTTTTTGTTTGAGACAATGCTACTCAAATGAATCAAGTACCGTTTTAATGGCAGATATTGTCATTGTTCGTGTGCAGTTATTTCTAACAAGCTGACATGTAATCGATGGGGTTTTCAAAGGCTTTGACTATTATCTTTACCAAATAAATTGAATGCATGAGTACAGTTGTCCAAGTCTTTTTCGACATAAGACTCAGTCATTGGAGTTCGAGGTGGAACCGGGGAAAGCGAGCGCGTAAATTACGGCAAACAGTGCATAAGGTTGTCAGGGGTTAAAGTGACCATCTCGCCTGGCAGTCGGAGGGTAGTGCCGAAAACCAATTCAGCTGCGCTACAGTCCAGATCCGACTTCAGAGCTGCGTGGATGCCAATGAGTGCAAGAGGGAGGTTGTCCGACCAGTTTCCTGGGTCTTCTACGGCACGCAGTGCGGTCTTTAGCTGGCGATGGAAACGCCCAACCATACCGTTGGCAGCTGGGTGGTAGGCTGTCGTCCGAATGCGTGTGCAGTCAAGGAAATTGAGTAGCGTTTAGAAGAGTGCCGACTTAAACTGGGCACCATGATCAGTCGTAACCGCGGGTGGGGCACCGAACATGGCCACCCAACGACTGACGAAGGCCTTCACGATGGTTTCAGCCTGCGCATTCGGCAAAGGAATTGCTTCAGCCCAGCGGGTATATTGATCGACACAGGTAAGGAGGTAGGTGAAACCATTGGATGGAGGCAAGGGGCCTACGACATCCAGGTGCACATGGCTGAACCGTGCGTCGGGACTGGGGAAAGTGCCTGGTCGGGACTTGTTGTGACGCTGCACCTTGTTGCTCTGGCAGCTCAGACACGACCGGGCCCAAGCTTTGACGTCCTTGTTCATGCCAGTCCAGATAAAACTTTCCGCGAGGAGCTTTTGAGAGGCTCGGATCCCAGGGTGGGAGAGTCCATACAGAGTTTGAAATACAGCTCGACGCATCGAGGCGGGCACAAAAGGGCGATGAAAGGGAGTTGCGGCGTCGTAAGGTATGGTACCAGAGCCGGTGGTCAGAGGAACGTCTTTGAGTTGGAGACCACTAACAGACTCGTCTCCTGGACAACTGATTCGCTGTTGCTCAGCCGCCATGGCACAAAGACCGATCTCGTATGAGAGTTAGAGGAAAGAAAGTGAGGGTCTGGACAGCACATCAGCCACCTCATTCTTCGTACCATCAGTGTGGCGGATGTCGGTGGTGAATTGAGAGATGAAGTCCAGGTGGGCGAGTTCCCTCGGACTGTACTTTTCGGAGTGTGGCCGAAGTGCAAATTTCAACGGTTTGTGGTCCGTGAAAACAGTGAATTCCCGACCTCCAAGGAAATGCCGGAAATGCTTCGCAGCCAGGTAAATGGCAAGTATTTCACGGCCAAAGGCACTGTAGCGTGTCTCAGCTGGTAAGAGTTTTTTGGAGAAAAGGACAAGTGGTCGAGTCCAATCAGCAAGGTGTTTTTGAAGGACTGCACTCACGGCTACGGTCGAAGCATCTACCATCAGGGAGAGCTGAGATTCGGGAGCGGGATGCGTGTGTAAGCTGGCGTCGGCAAGGGAATTCTTGATTATCTCTAAAGCAGTCAGTGCTTCGCCAGTCATCTCGAGGAGGCCTTTGGGACCAGAAAGCATGTTGGTGAGCGACACCATGAGGTCAGCACAGTTCGGTAGGAACCGGCGGTAAAAATTGATCATGCCAAGGAATCGCTGTAACTGACGCTTAGAAGCTGGTGGAGGGAAATTGCGAACTGCTTCGACCTTAGCGGAGAGGGGACACAAACCTTCAGAGTCAACCTGATGGCCGAGTAACTCGAGCGAAGGCACACCCAAAATGCAATTGGAGGGGTTTATGACAACACCAAACTTGTCAAGGCGGTCAAACACCAAGGACAGATGCTCTTTGTGTTCTTCCTCATTTCAGCTGGCCACCAAGAGGTCATCATTGTAGGCGTACACAAAGGGTAGGCCACCGAAGACATGGTCGATGAACACCTGGAATGTTTGGGCGGCATTACGAAGACCGAACGGCATGCGGTTGAACTCAAAGAGACCGAATGGTGTGATGAAGGTGGTCTTAGGTATGCGCTCAGGGGCGACTGTAATCTGATGAAAAGCACGCACCAGATCAATCTTCGAGAAAACCGCTTTGCTGAAAAGGGCTCCAGCAAAGTCCTGAAGATGAGGCACGAGGTACCGATCACGAATGGTGGTGCTGTTGTTGGCACGATAGTCGCCAAAGCGTTGCCAGTCGCCTGATGTCGCCTTGGGCACCATGTGCAGTGGAGACGCCCAAGAGCTTTCAGACGGTCGAATTATTCCCAGTTGCAGCATGTGTTCAAACTCCGCCTTCGCCGCCTGGAAGCGCTCCGGTGCTAGTCGTCTCGGCCGAGCAAACACGGGAGGACCTGAGGTGAGGATATGGTGCACAACATCATGTTTGACTTCACCACTGCGAAACTAAGGGTCAATTATATTGGTGTGTCTAAGCAGCAGTTGCCGAAAGGGGTTAGACATATCTGTATCCCAGAGAGATAAGTTGGTGGGGGCAGTAAAGGGAGTTAGTCAACGAAAAGACAGACCGGTTGTGCGGTCGAGGAGACAGGCATGTCGGCAGTCAACAGGGAGATCGAACTCGGCGAGAAAGACCGAGCCGAGGATTGCATAAGGGACATCAGCAATGACGAAGATCCGGGTGTACGACCGATGAAGGACAATGTTCAGGGTGAGGGACAGACTGCCAAAAGTGGGAACGGCGGAACAGCTTGGAGGTGAAGACCAAGGCTAGGGAAAGGACGATCAGCTGCAGTTGCGGGGAAAATGCTGATTTGGGCCCAAGTATCCACCAGGAAATGTCTGCGAGTCACAGTTTCGCAAACAGAGAAGGTGCGACCAGAGACGGTAATAATAATTGTATCGAATTGAAGAAGAAGAAGAAGAAGACACGATCGCCGGGACAAGATCTTTATTAGCCTGACGTTTCGGATTCCTGCTCGAATCCATCATCAGAGACATAAGCAGATAGGGGTGGCTCATGCACATGCGGCTGCAGTATTTATAGGA